AGCTCAGTAAAGAGAATAAAAAACACGAGATAAACCGAACCAAAGAAAGGAGACAAGAAGAAAGAGAAAGCACGATAAACTTAAAAAAACAAAAAGTAAGATGGCAGAAATTATTTTAAATAGATCAGTCATCACAATAAATATAAAAAGAGAATCACTATTAAAATACAGATTGCGGCGCCTGGGTTGCTCAGTCAGTTTAGCGGCCAACTCTTGATTTCAGGTCAGGTCATGATCTCAGGGTCCTGAGATCGAGTCCTGCCTCCGGCTTGAGCTCAGCCTGGAGTCTGCTTGAGGTTTTCTCCCTCTGCTTCTGCCCCTCCCCCTGCTTGAGTGCTCTCTCCCTCTCTAAAATAAATAAATTTTCAAAAATATAATACAGATTGATTTTTAAAACTACCTATAAACAGTTTATGAGAGCTACACTTAAAATAAAATAAAATATATATACATGTGTTCCAGACAGAGATTTTTTTAAAGTCTTAGAGAGACAACCTACCAACTAAAAAAAGTTGTAATTCTTTTTAAAAACCTGTGAATTTTACGTATCTAATAACACAACTTGGTACTATCCCAAACAAAAACGGACAGAGCTATCTTGCAGGACTTTTTTCTCCACCAGTGCCCGCAGTTCTTGGTCATGCCACTTCAAAGAATGAAGAGGTAGACCAGACAGAGTGGTGGGCAGCAAGGCAAGGTTTATTGAGCGATAGCAAAGTAATGGTACAAAGCTCCCAAGGAAGGAGGGGACCCAAAGGGATTGCCATCAGAGTTTCTAAATCTAGGGGTTTTTATGCGCTTGTTCGTGGGCTGTTTTAATCTGGTTAACCCTCCCTGTGCCTGTCACCCAATGAGGTTTTTGTCACCTGGCTATCATATGGGATAGGGTGGAGGGCTCTTTCCAGGGTGGTGTAAAATCCTCTTAGGGTGGGGGCCTGTTATCCCTGCCTGCCTGCCTTCCAACTATCCTTCATCAATTAGAGTACGGAATTAGCAAGCCCATAAACCTGGGAGATTTTAATCCATCTCTCAAAAGCTGATAAATCAAGAATATTTTAAAACCTTATATAGGACGGAAAGAAAGATAGAAACTTGAATTCCAAGACAGAGATTAAATAGCCTCTTCTAGCATGTGCGGGACATTTGCTAAAAAATTGGCCACATAGAAAGCCACTCAGGAAATCTCAACCAATTTCATAGAACTGACATTTAAAATGAAGTCATATGGACTGTAGAAAAATTGGGAAATGTAGATATTTTAAAGCACAAGATAAAAATTATCTGCCATCCCACTCTGTCTAGAGATGACCTCTTTTAATATTCGGCATATTTTCTTTGGGTCTTTTTCAAAATGTGTATTTATACCTGCTTTTCTTTTCCTTCCCTTCTTTTTTTAATAGGGGGATTTGCTGCATATTCCTTTTGTATCCTGTTTATTTGCACATAATGTCCTCGTTTATTTCTAGCCTCTCTAGAGTTTATTTTCATTCTAAAGTCAGGCTGATGGAAGGAATATCTGCTCAGTGCGATAATGTGTGGCTCTTGGAGAAAGTGAATATTCACAGCGGTAAGATGTGTTCACCCTTAGGTAAACCAGGAGGAAAGTGGCTACAGACTGCATTGCAGGAGAGGTGGAGAGGAAGTTATTAGAGTTGAAGCAAAAGCCGGATTGCCCCTCTACCAAAAGGACCCACGCGCCTCCTCTCACCCCCAATTCAGAACCAGCAGGAGCCGGGCAGAGGATATGCTCACTCACACCCGGCCGACACCCCAGAGGGCAGGCCCACCAATCCCACGTGCGGACCTGGGGGAGAGGAGGTGTTAACCAGGGGCGGAGGAAGAAGCCAAAGGACAGGCACTGGATGAATGGAGATTTAGAAGAATAAGTCAGAATCAACACGGGGCCCCTCAAAAGGACACCAAGTCTTCTGCCCCGCCTCCCCTCTCCACATTCCCACCGCCAAATAAAGTCACAATTGTCTGTCTTCTGCTACTGGACCCTTCCGGTGAAAATGCTGTCTACACCGGCAGCAGAGGTCAGGGTGGACCAGCCCGGGAGCGAGGGGCGTGGCGGTACTTAGGGCGTGGTGGCTGGAAGGAAGCCAGGTCCCCGGCCTTCTGCCTGTGTCTTGTGTCGGGAAAGCAGTAACCTGCAGCAGCGGACGTCCCCAGCGCGCACACCCAGCGGATCCTGCCCCTGGCCAGCCACGCCCCCTAAGGGCCCAGGACTCAAGGCTTGAGCATGCCTTCCTTCATGTAATTTCTGCTGAATGCCTGACACACAGTAGGACTTGGTACATTTTAGCTATTGCTATTCTTTTTCTTTAGGTATGCCTACTTGCTACAGTGATGTGAGACACAGGCTTTGGTTTAAAACAGTCCTGGGTTTAAATCCATGCTCAAATCCCACTTATTAGCTGCTTGGCCGCTTCAGAGTGGATTTGCCCCCACTCTAAACCTGTTTCCTCAACTGTAAAATGGAATTAATAATACCTACTTTATGGGATTAAATTAGCTAATCTATGTAAAGCACTTAGCATAGTGCCCAGCCTGTAGTTAATGGTAGGGGTTAGAATTACCATTTAACACATGGTTGTTGGTGTCTCTTGGGGTTTTTTTCCCCACTCCTCCCCCTCTCTCTCTTACTTAAATATTTTGGGGGGAGCGAGGTGTTTCTTTTGAGACCGTTTGGAAATCTATTCCTATTTTTCAGTAGCCTCATTTTTCCATCTTAGTTATCCCAGTATAATGTATCCATTCATGCCTTCTAGTATGGAGGGCAGAGATTTAAAGAAATATAGAGGGGCACCTGGGTGGTTCAACCGGTTAGGCGTCTGCCTCCTGCTTGGGTCGTGATCCCCCGGGGTCCTGGGATGGAATCCCAGCATAGGGCTCCTTGCTCAGCAGGGAGCCTGCTTCTCCCTCTCCCTCTGCTGCTCCCCCTGCTTTTGCTCTCTTGCTCTCTCTGTCCAATAAATAAATAATATTTAAAAAGAAAGAAAGAAACATAGAAATAAGTGAGGTTACATATAGCTCATGGGTCCTTCCATAGATATCTGTATCAACACAAACAAGGAAGCAGACAAAAGACAGTGGATCCAGAAAGGTTTTATAAAGGAAACAACTCTTCAGCCTCATCTTGAAATAGAAGCGTTTGGAATCAGATAGCCCTGAGTTTGGACCCGTGGTCTGCCATTGACTAGCTGTGGGTGAATTAACATCTGGCCGAGTGTCAGTCTCCTCATGCATTCAGTGAGGATAATAACACCCACCTAAAAGTTGGGTGGGATCAAATGAGCTGATAAATGTGAAAGCACAAGGAATTTACAGATAGTAAATTATCAATACATGTGCTTCTATTAGCTTCCAACCCTCTCCTGTCCTACCTTCTGCATTACCTTCTCCCCACTAACTCTTTCCTCCATCCTCCCTCCCCCTCTCATCCTTAATTTTGTTTGATGTCACCTAGAAACATAATAAACCTCCTAGCTACAAAGAAAAATATAAAGCCGCCTGAGTTATGGGTTGACCCCTGGTCATTAATGGTCCATTAATGAAGATGTTGATCCATGGACAACTTCTATGGGTACCTGTAAACATCTGCCCATGTTGTCCATGGCATGCTTTAAAGCATATTTTTCCAGCTTTTTGAGAAAAGTGAAATGCAGGGTTGAAACGGAAGTCTTGCCAAAGCTTGAGATCAAGTTTGCCTACAACATCTTCTCAACCTACCAACCCTAAAGACTCTGTCACTTAAAATGAGGTTAGTCCAATAATATGTGCTCTTTCACGATTTGACTTGTGACCATTTTTTACTGACTTTTCTTGGGACGACAAATTAAAATTTCAAATTTCCCAGGCCAATTCTTTGTTTTAAATGATGAGGATTTCATTTCTTCATGTAAATCGTCATGCCAAGAAGGCATGGAAAGGAATTGAGTTTGCTTCTCTAGAAAGGAAAAGGCTGGGGGGTGGGAGGGATTAATCCTTGCTGGCAGCCTGTAATGGAACCTCCTCTTTAGCACAGAACTGACCTGAGGATTGTGTCACTTTGGCCAATAAGTACTTTCTCTGACCAGAGATCAAAGCCTCACCCACCACCCCTGCTGGGAACATAGTCAGTCCCGATTTGGGCTGCAGTTGCTAATGTGTTCTCATCTGAAACTAGGTCCAGCCTGACCTTATCCACTTCCTGCCTCCTTCCTGCAGACAACTCTCCCGGGAGTCCACATCTGCCTGGTTTTCAACAGCATCCTCTGCTGACATGCATTCACTCTGCCACCTCCCCCATCACACGATGACCTGGGGACTGGGGACGGCAGCACCGCCCCTGCCTGCGAAGTGTTGACCGACTTCGAACTGACAAGGTGATTACAGTAGAAAAGCAGCTAAAGCTAAACATCACTGAAAGGCAGCACAAGGGAAGAGGTAGGGGCATGAATTTCTTCCAGAGTCGGGGGAAAGGTGTTCCCTTAAGAGCTGAGCTGCCGGAAGTGGCTTCCTGATAGAAATCCACTGTGCCTTCTCCATTGTGTGGGGTCACTGGTTTAGAACAGTTAAAGACATGAACTTCGAGTCAGACTGCCAGGGTCTGAAACTCAGCTCAGCCCATAACTAGCGTGTGGCCTGGGCAAATGACTTCACCTCCCTGGGCCTCAGTCTCCTCCTCCCTAAAATGGGGACAATGATAATGCAACCTAGCTCACAGACTTGTGGTGAGGATAAACTGAGGGAAGAGATGTGAAACACGTGGTATATACTAAATACTAATAAGGGCTCCCGACCCGTGTTGTTTATGACACGGTGTTCTTGAGAATAAGAAATGGACAAGAAAGGCGCGCCATGGTGTCTATGTAATTAATTAATGCTGTCTGGGGAGGAGCGAGTGTGTTTAAGGCATCGTCTGGGACGGCTTGTGTAATGTCATCCTCAAGCAAAATGCCTTGTAATTGGCGCAGCTCCGAAAACACACGTCCGCCCGAGCATGCACGCGAGGCGGGGCTGCTCGGCTGCGTGCTCTGTGTCCGGGCTGTAAACACCCGCGGGTGAGCCCACGCTGCGTGTGCGCTCGGGCCGCTGGGTGTCGGGCTGCGTCTCTGTGTGTCAGCGACACACCGATAGGAACCCTGCTTCGACGTGCGTGTCATGGCTTAAAAATAGAGGCTAATCCGTCAGCCGGTCTCGCAGCGGCAGCGGCAGCGGCAGCGGCAGCGGGCGGGGGCGGCGGCGGCGGCCGCAGGAGAGTCATGGCCGTGGGGCCGGTTGCGCCTGCCATCGGCCTCCGCGACTGAGACCCCGCGCCGCGCTCGCACCCAGGTAGAGGGGCTGCGGGGGGTGGTCGCCTCCCCCGCGGCGCGGAGAGGCGCACGGCTCCGGGCTGGGCTGGGCTGGGCTGGGCTTGGGGCGGGGGGTGCGGGACGCGGGAGCCGAGCTAGCTGAGCTCCCCAGGGCTCCCTCCCTGCACCTTCAGCGCCGGGTTGTCTGGGTTAGCCGGGGCTGGGGCGACAGCCATGAACCTGTTACAACCTCCACGGCGGCCGGGGGGGGAGGGGGCCGCGGACCAAGGCGCCTGAACGCGGCTGATGGGATTGGAGAAGGCCGAGGGGTATACCCCGGGACGTAATGGGGTTCCGCCAGCCTCGAGGAGAAATAGAGTCCCACCGAGCTCCTCCCTACACCTGGGCTCCTTCCCGCTTCCTCTTTACCCTTTAGCATCAATCACCCGGGCAGCAGAACCCATTTCGAGAAACCGTTGTTTGGGAATAAAGTGATGGGGTCTTTAGGCCTGAGGAGACAAGGCAGATGATGATGATGATGATGATGATGATGATGATGATGATGATGGAATGATGATGGTGGTGGTGGTTGGTGATGGCGATGGTGGCTAGAGTGCTATATTTCTGTGCTCTTTCTGCCCCAGCCTTTGCAAACATCTCTCTCCCTGAACGCCCTAAGATCCAGGCTCCCCTCAGCAGCCCTGATCCTAATGCCCATGCTTCCTAAGACCTGTTAGTGCTCGGTCTCCCCTGGCCTGGGGGAAAGGAGAGCCGGGGCCCTGGCTCACAGGGAGGGATGGGTCCGCAGAGTGTGTGCAGGTCAAAGATGGCCTCTCGATACTAGACTTTTGGTTGAGGACCAGGAAGGGAGGGGAAAGGGAATCCTTGGGACCAGTCCACCCTGGTGATGGGAGAGGGGGAGGAGGAGGACGGAGGGGCTCTTGTCACAGTGGCCTCTCTGCCTGAAGGACCCAGGACAAGTCTCAAAGGCTGGCTCTTCCCAGCTCTGCAGCTCTGCACAAGCCTTTTACAAAGGCCAGTTGTCCACAGGGAGTCTGAGGCACACCTGCTAAGCCCCTCACTGCCAGCCCCATGCCCCGAATAGGGTCACTTGACTCCAACAGCAACTCAGATGGTCATTTCAGCCTCTGAGCCCCTGGGCCTGGCAGAATCCCTTATCCCTTCCCTTCTTCAGCCCCCAGCCTCCGCCTCTCCCCTACACACCCAGACACATTACTCCAGCCCTGCTTGACTCAGAAATCCTCACATGAGAGATGAGGTTTGATCAATAATTTCTGCATGCTGATCAAAGGAGAGTAGATTGGCTGTTGTGCACTTAGCTTGGCACCCTCTTCCATTAGTGCATGCCTTCGGCAAGTATTTTTCAGAAACTTACACTTTCTCTTTATTGCTGTTCCCCACTCACCCCAGCCCCCAACGTAACACTTCCCATAGTAGGCTTAACTCTGAGGCAGTGGTAGGGCAGCAATGGGTTAAAGCAGCCCATCTTTCTGGTGCTGAGAAGGGCTTGGCATATGTCATGGCCCCAGCTGCTGCTATCTTCCTGCTCATTCTCTCCGGGTGGGTCCAAAGCCACCCCCCCATTCCCCTCCCAGCTCCCTGGGCTCTTTGCCTGGGGACCCAGGCAGATGAGACCCAGATTCCGGCTGGCGGGAGCTCCCACAATGGGCACTGCCACCCAAATATCAAATGTGTGCGTGTGTGTGTGTTTGTGTATGTGTGTTGGGAGTGGGGGTGGAGTGGTGGGGCAAAAAGCCAGCAGCTGGGCAGCTCCCTCTCCCGTAAACAAGGACATGTGACTCCCACCTCCTTGCCTGGCTGAGCCAAAGAGCAGAAAGGAGCTGCCGCAGCTTGGAGGAAAGAGTAATTAGGGAGCCCCTCCCCCCGCCCCCGCCAGGGCCAGACTTCCCTTCCCTCCCTTGAGAAGCTTCTCCCCAGGGCCCAGCCCAGTTAGCAAGAAGCAGCAGCTGCTCCGGAGCCACTCAGGTGTGTCTCCCTTCCGTCCCTCCTCCAGCAACAGCTACCTGGAGACTGACCCAGCATCGGCGCATAGCCACCCCTGCAGCCGCCTCTAAGATGTGCCCTGGTAACTGGCTCTGGGCCTCCATGACTTTTATGGCCCGCTTCTCCCGGAGCGGCTCAAGGTCTCCTGTTCGCACTAGAGGGGCCCTGGAGGAGATGCCAGATGTGCAACATCCCTTCCTCAATGTCTTTGAGTTGGAGAGGCTGCTCTACACAGGCAAGACCGCCTGTAACCATGCCGATGAGGTCTGGCCGGGCCTCTACCTCGGAGACCAGTACGTACCCGGCATCCCGGGGTCATGGCTGCGCGCGCGCGTGGGTGTGTGTGTGTGTGTGTGTGTGTACGCACGCAAGAAGAAAGGAGAAGGGTGGCAGGCAGGTGCTGAGTCGTGTTGCTGGTTCCAGGGTGAGGAGGGAGGGGCAGGGGTGCACGGGCAGAGAGTGGAGGCTGGAGGGTTTGGGGCAGTTGGGGCAGGATTATTGATATGCCCAACTCTGGACAGATAGTCTCTGTTCAAGTAATAACGTCACTCACTTAGCAAAATTAATTACTGAGTGCCAATGCCATGTGGCGGACACTGTAGATGACTTCCCTAACCTTCCATGTGTTGTGCTGTGATGCTGGCCACGGGCAGCCATCGGGAGCCAGAGAGTGGGTAGGAAGCCGAGGGGTTGACCAGGCAAAGCTGCAGTGTATGCAGAGGCCCTGCAGCAGGAGGGCCTGGAGAGAAGAGCATCCAGGGAGGAGGCCCCTCACTTCTCTGTCTCTCAAGGGCTTCATAGTCTACAAGGAGTTTTTCACATGCATTTTCTCTCTTAATCTTCACAACAGCCTTGTGAGGTAGGTACCACTGCCCCCAGGTTACAGATGGCAAAACTGAAGCTCAGAGACGTTGTGACTGGCCCAAGGTCACACGGGTCGTAAGTAGCAGAGCCAGGACTTGGAGGTTCAAGTTCAGGGCTCGTACTTGAGGAGTTTGCACTGGACAGGGCGTTGGCCCTGAGGTATGGCCATGTTGCCTGAGAGATGTCTGCCACTAAGCTGAGGGGGATGGGCCAGAGGAACCCCCGAAGGTGACGTCGTAAAACATGGTCCAAATGAGCATGGAATAACTAGTAGAACATGAGAACATTCTGGGTGTCAACGAGAGCAGAAAGTAACAGGGGAGCTAGGTGTGGGAGCAAGGGTCAGAATCCTATCACCTCAAGGTCAACAAGGAGGTTGAACGTGAGCTGGTCCAACAACCCAGCTGAGGTCCAGATTCCCTCTTGCGCATCCATGCCTATACACTGACCTCCTCTCTGTGCTTGAATACCCCAGTGACAGGAGAGTCATTCTCTCCCAAGGTGTTTCCGTCTTTCTTCAGCTGGATTCCACGGTTAGTACATACTTCTGTACACGAAGTGCAGAGCCAGTCAGTCCTTCCCACAGATCAAGCTGCCTTGGAGGACTCTCAATATTTTATTATGGCTATCGTTCGCCCACCCCATTAGTCTTCTCTTCTCCAGGCAGAACCTCCCCAGTACCCTCAACCCTTGCTCAAGGACGAGACACCAGGTCGTTGCCCATCTTGGTTCCCCCCTCTGGGTCCTCAGTAAGTACAGCGGAGGCATGGAGCCAATGACGTTAGCTAGGCAGTGGACAGGGTGGAGGCCAGGGCTTCTTGCCCCAGAGCCTAGCTTCCCCACCCTCCCTTTATCCTCTACTCAATGCAGGGACATAGCCAACAACCGCCGGGAGCTCCGTCGCCTGGGCGTCACCCACGTCCTCAATGCCTCACACAGCAGGTGGCGAGGCACGCCCGAGGCCTACGAGGGGCTGGGCATTCGCTACCTGGGTGTTGAGGCCCATGACTCGCCAGCCTTTGACATGAGCATCCACTTCCAGACGGCTGCTGACTTCATCCACCGGGCGCTGAACCAGCCAGGAGGTAGGAGGGGGAAGCCAGGGGGAGGGAAGGAACAAGGGACATGGGAGTTAGGGGAAAGCTGGAGGGTTCAAGGCTGGAGAGATTTGAATGACGTGACAGAATGCTCAGGATCTGATATGAAGGCAAGAAGAACACTCTCAACTATTTGTTAAAGGCAGTGCATGAGAAGAGAAGGAAATAATCCAAAGTGTTAACAGAGCACAGATGCTAATGCACTGGGGAACACTCACCAGATCCCCAGATCCTCACGCTGTGCGAGACTCAGTTTTACATTAGTGATGAGCGGCTGTCTCCCTGGGAGCCCCTTTCAGGCTCCCGGACGCTGAGCTGCTGCACGCTGTCCATCTTATCCCGTCCAGGCCTCCCAGGGGTCGGCATTCTTCCCACCCCTAGTCGGCACCCCATCCTGTCTCCGTGTGCACCTGCTTCCCTGTCGTCCTCCTCACCTGGCCCCGTCGCCCTCTCCCTAGCCGCCTCCAGCCCACCGCAGACAGTCCCACAGCCTCCTCGTGTGTCTGTCCTCGCAGGGAAGATCCTGGTACACTGCGCCGTGGGAGTGAGCCGATCTGCCACGCTGGTACTGGCCTACCTCATGCTGTACCACCACCTCACCCTCGTGGAGGCCATCAAGAAAGTCAAGGACCACCGAGGCATCATCCCCAACCGGGGCTTCTTGCGACAGCTCCTGGCCCTGGACCGCAGGCTGCGGCAGGGTCTGGAGGCCTGAGGGGAGGGGATAGGGGGTCAGGCCAGGTGCATTTGGCCCTGGCTCCCAGCTGGAGGGAGGAGGCCCAGATACCCCACCTTCCCCTGTCCTGTGCCTGCGCAGGGAGTCAGGGATGCTGCAAGCACGAACGTGATGGTGTAGATATGTTGTGTAGATGGTGGTGTAGAGACAGACGGTAAAGAGAGAGTGTGAAAAGCTGTGAGACCAGAGGGAGACACTCACAGACTTGTTACTCCAAGCGCAGGAAGAGGAGGTGTGGGAGGATTGGCGCTGTGCCCGCGGGCGCTGGTCGCGGCCAAAAGCTGCAGGGGTGCATGCCTGGGAGTCTTTAGATGATCGCTCGCTTCCTGGCTGCAGGTGTCTTGAGGGAAAATAAAGATGGTGGACAAGACAAGATCCTGGTGAAGTCGTTGACAGCTTGTAGGAGCTCCCCACCTCTCTCCTGGAAAACCCTGGCTTTCTGGGGATAGCAACAGTTCCTGACTCCCTCACCGTGGTCATAAACCTCCAGTGATTCTCGGGGGGGCGGTTCTTTCTCTCAAGTCCAATTTTACTCTGGCCACAAGCGAGATCTTGAAGTGTTGTTTCCCGCTATGTGCACACAGGGGCAGCAGAGGACCAAAAACTTCAGGCTCACAGCCCCTTTGTGCAGCTGCGAGGAAGGCACGTCCACCGCCCGGCTTAAAATAGGTCTCTGTTCCAAGCTCAGGTGTGGACGAAATATCGCTTTATTTTCAAAAAAATTTCCAGTTTCAATATCAAGTCCCCATCGTGATTGGATAGCAGAATGTGAATCTTAAATCAACCCCAGCCCTAAATCCTACATTCAGGGGGGTCTGGGCTTTGCCTGGTACCAAGGAATTGGAGGAGAGGGAAAGAAGGGTGATGTAATTGCTTCCTCTTGTCATCTTTCCAGGTTTGCCTCATTAGAATGTAATGCAATCTCCTTAGTAAACTTAGTAAAAATTTAGACTCACCAGCCAGAGAGAGTAGTATGTATGGTCTTTCTGTTATCCCAGCTGCCCAAATTGCCAGCCACCACATCCCTCCTTTTAAAAAAGACGTGTTCCCAGAACAGAATATCTGCATGAAGAGGAGAAGGGGACAGAAGAGAAAGTGAAAAATACAGGGAAAAGAAATCACTTAATATGCCTGAAGAGTCTATCTTACCCCAAAGTATAGAAACACTCAGAATCTCAAAGCTGGAAGGTGCCTTCCTAGATGACCCATTTCCACCCTCCAACAAGGCATAAATAAATTACCTTTTTAATATCTTTGATGAGATCCATCACACACCTCCTTGGACACCTTCGATGGTACAGAACTGGTACAGAACTTCCATACCATTGTACCAGCTCTGACTATGAGAAAGCTCTAATATCACACATGCATCATGCAGTCCCGTTACAGTGGTCATGACATGAGGCCAAAAGATCTGCCAGCCTGAGCCCCCTGGCTATGAGAGCCTTTGGGCAGGTCACTTTGCCTCTTGCCCACCTCGTCTCGTGCGAGAGTTCTGTCTCTTCCATAGCGTTGCGAAGGGAGCTTAATTAGATATGCGATACTGTGCTCAGAGCACAGTGGTATTTAGTAAGTGTTCTTTCTCTTGCCCCATCCCTTCCCATGGTGTGAAGCCAGCTCCCCTGGCTCTCCTGTGTCCCCCGCTTTCCGCCTAACAGCTCTGATTGTTTCCAAGAGTCTGCGTTTGTCATGTTTCAAGTTTCCTCCCCAGCCAACAGCGGCATCTCTCTCTGTTTGTGGCAACCAATGCTGGTCTCGGTGCTTCAAGCAAAGCGTAGTTGCCAGGACCTCAGATTTCTGGTACTGTTGAGGGTCAAGAGCATCTAAGGGTCATAGAGTGAGGCCTTCATTAGGAATGTGGATTCCAATTAAAATGCATCAACCCCCTATCAGAACCATGAGCAGGAGGACTTAAGAATAAGTACAAATAACCCAGAAGTAACTCAGGCTCTTGGACGGACTGAGTGTTGACCTGACCAGTACAGAGTACTGTGGACTTGGCCCCTCCTTCGTTCTAGTCTAGTACACATATCTGTTACTATTGATGTAACCTGCAGCGCCTTCTAGCTTCTAGTAGAGAAGTATGGCTACTAACGCCGATTTGGCCAAAGATTATCCTCACAGAGCAGGTGAGTTCGAGCCCCACGTCGGGTGGAGATATTGCTTAAATAAATGAAAACACAGCTGTATGAGTGCAGGCCGAACGTGCCTCACGCGAATCCCCTCGCATTGTTTCAAGCTGAGTCACTGGGGAATTTATTTCTAACTTCTAGTAGAGAAGTACAGCTATTAAAGTAGAGTTGGCCAAAGATCATCCTTCAGAGCAGGGTACGTATTTGTAGATTTAACAAAGCTGTGTGACGGGGCTGCCGAGGCAGTGTCCTGCCTTTACAGATATTAAGCTATTAACCCGTTTAATCCTCCTTAAAAACCCCGTGAAAGGTGTCGTTGGCATTGCTTAAGAACAGGGCAACTGAGGTAAATAATTTTCGGGAGGACACACAGTGGCCAATGAAAGTGCTGGGATTCACCCTGGTGTAATCATCCTGCTGCCATGCCTTTCGTCCCTGACTCTACCACTGAAGGTTGTGAGCGTGTGTGCACGTGTGTGTGTGTGTGTGTGCGTGTGTGTGTGTGTTGTGGACCTATACGGTTCCAGGGAGAGAGACGGGGGGCACAGCCTGGTCATTACGCAGAATCAGTGCTATCCTCCCAAGCGGTTGGGGGTGGGGGGCGGGTAGCTGTCACAGGTTGGTCTTCCTCCCACCTGCCAAAACTGATGCTAAAAGTCCAGACTCCCTAATCCTCTTCGTGGGAGCAGTTGGCCATTTGAACCCAAGCAAAGGACTTGACGACGGACAGGACTAAGTGAGCTCTTGTCAGATGCAGCCTGAGCTTCCAGCTGGCCGGGCCCTGCCCCTCGGGGACGGGGCAGCCCACGTCAGTCTTGTCGTCCTGCTCTCTTCCTGCCCTCGCCGCCTCCAGCCCCAGCCTGGGTGATGTTGACTCCAGCCTTGGCGGCAAGCCCCGGAACCTTCGCCGCACCTGGGGAGAAGGAGGCCCCCGTCCCTCACCCTGTAAGTAATCCCAGCTGAGAAGCTCCACAGGGAGGGGAGCTAAGGGAGAAGGGCTGCTTCTGAGCCCCGAGGTAGCAGATGGCACCGGGGCCAGAGAGGCAGCTGAGCGTTCCACTGGCTGGAGCGGGCCCCGGCCTGGCGGCACAGAAAGGCCCCTGCTAGAATAATCTCTTACAGAGAAGGAAGCCTGATTGGGGCGGGGAGAGTGAGTCTGGTTATGAAGAAAGATAAACCCCAACTGATGGTTACCAGAGGGGAGGGGTGAAGTAGGTGATGGGGATTACGAATGCACTTGTGATGAACATTGGGTGATGTACAGAATTGTTGAATCAGGGACACCTGGGTGGCTCAGTCGGTTAAGCATCTGCCTTCTGGTCATGATCCCGGAGTCCAGGGATCGAGCCCCACATCGGGCTCCCTGCTCAGCAGAGAGCCTGCTTCTCCTTGTGCTCGCTGTCTCTCTCTCTCTCTCTCAAATAAATAAATCTTAAAAAAAAAGAATCTGTTTAAAAAGAAAAAAAATTGTTGAATCACTCTATTGTATACCTGAAACTAATATAACACTGTATGTGGAATTAAGACTTTTAAAAAATAATAAAACAAGAAAACAGACAGAAAGAAAGAAAGAAGCTGTTTATCTTAGGTTTCTCTCCCCAGAGCTTTTTTTGAAGAAAAGATTCAAAAGTTTAGAGAAGAGCCCTGTTCATACCCTAATGCCTGGATCCTATAAAAATGTTCCCTCGTGTGGCAAAAGGGATTTTGCAGAGGCATTTATTTTTTTTT